CTTAGGTCATGGGGAAAGTGTGAACTTTAATATATTTCTCCTCACAAGGCAAAAACTTCTGCTGCAGAATTTAACCCCTGGCTACCACACTGGAAACAAACCCCAATACTGGAATAGTCCCAGAGAAGCATCCCAAAAATCCTTGAAAACTTTGGGAAAATTCCTGGAAACTTTCTTGGGAGAATTCCTAGAAGGCACTTGGGGGGCATTTCTAAAACACATTGAAGAAATTCCCAGAAAGCATCATGGATAATTCTCAGAGAGCCTTCAGTAAAATTCCTAGAAAGTATCTCTGCTGAGTCCTAGAAAACAGGTGGGAGAATTCATACAGAGTAATCTAAATGCAATTACAAATATTTCAATTGAGCATCATTTCTTCCCCTAAGCCACAAGCATGTTAAAGGTTTGGACATAATCAAGGCTGACAAAAGAAAGCACCAGAGTCCTTAGTGATTTGCAGAGGATGGGGAAATGTTTCTTTCCTGGCCCTGTGAGTGCTGGAGCATCACCTGCAAGACCCATCCAATATGTCTGGATATCTACTTCCTGGGGAAATTAAGCCCAAATTTCAATTTTTTTTTTTAAACCTCTTCTGTATTAATGGATTTTCACATACTTGCCTGCACACCTTCAACCATAAACAGCTCCATGTATTTTAAGTCATAAAGATTCATTAACTATAAATTCGAAACAGATCCTAATTTCAGTATTTGTAGCTACTTCTGAACATAAAAGTGATTCAATGAAAAAGCAGTAATGTGAAGTGTGTAGGCACTGATTTTTTTCCCACCATTATGAGATGCGCTAGCATAATACAAACCATATATATTCTTTCTTTCTTCTGGCTAGAGCCAGAAAACCTTAGGAGTATGAGGTTTATAAGCAAAATAAAATGGAAGTTGCTATATGGTATGATGCATGACCAAAGCTAAAACAGAAGATAAAGAATGAAGAGTTAAATGCAAACTTCGGTTAATTTGCACACAAATCAATGCAAACATCCAAATCAATCACCTGAGTATACACTCTAATCACTAGGGGATATATAAAAGCACTGTTCCAAGGGCGTGACCCACAAACCTTTGCTGATTTATTAACTACAAGAGAGGTCATGAATTTTAATAAACTGTTCACACTTCTTCATTCAGTCAGGCCATAATCTGAATGTTGTTTATTGTAAATTGTTTAAAGAAAGTGTTTGAATAATTTTTACATTTCATCATGGCATTTAAAGCCAGTAATGCTTTCCATATGACCTCCCAGCTAAGCATTTGGATACTGTAAAAGTAAGTAAACATATGGTTTAATAAACATATGAAATTTCTTCAGAACTGGGGAAGAACCACTACAAAAAAGAAGAAACAAATATACAGGGACACCTGTGACTGTGATTAGAATTTTTTAATCATTTGGTTCAATGTGGGCTTTATCACAGTACTTCAAACCAAACCTGCTAGTGAAGTTTTCAAGTTTAACACTGGCACAGACAGGCTGGCAAACTCAGTTGGGTATCTGCAATTCAAGGTAGGGTTTTTTTTTGGTCTGATCTATTTGGGTTCCTATGTGATGAATACCATTGTCATGGGCAGAATCTTTCACATCACTGTGTGTTCAATTTCCACAGCTGGCCCTAATATTTAATCTCTTCTGAATCCAGCTTATTCTCCTACAGCTGCTCTGAATTGATAATACTGACATAAGTAAAATTCACTTCAGTCTAATATTTGGCTTGCCTCTCAGCACCAACATGTTAAGTAAGGAAACACCATTCTGCAATATGCCTTTTGCTGACCACAGCTGCACTAATCACTTTGCTGTAAAAGGAACTGCAGCCTTGCTGATGGAAACTCTGGACTTCTGGGCTGCTCCTTACCTCCTAGGAATATGTTTTCTTTCACAATCACTGCCAAGTTTTTAAATTACAGCCTTTCCACCTTCTGCTCATACAATTAGCTGAAAGATACCAATGACTTCAATAACAAAGTCCTCCCAAAAAGGGCTGAAGAGCTTTAAAAGGATAATGCATGAACACAGCAAAGTCTCTGACAGCTGATTTCAGAAGGCAGTATGAAAAGAAAATAGAAAAACCACCTCAAGGCACAGGTACTTCAAAAGAAATTAATAACACAGTTTTCTGGGGGAGTTTGGGAGAGGGGCCGTGTGAGATCTACAAAAATAGTGTTGGTCAGATAAGGAAACATCAAATACCAGGACCAGGAAGAAAGAAGCAGATTCATTCATGCAGCATTTTTCCTTTAAATTACCATGTCTAAGTGTTTATGTTATATATTGCGTATAAGAGTTTATGTATTATCCACTCCATTCATGGTTTGCTGAATCATGATGATTTGAGGTAAAAGTTTTTCTAAGAACGAAGCTAAAATAGCCCTAGATTCACCAAATTTATCTATACAGCATTCATCCTTTGATATTACCAAAAGTTATCTATACAGCATTCATCATCATTCAGTCTTAAGGTAAAAATAGCCCATACATTGATTACTATCATGGACTTTTCCTTGCTACATTGCAGATCCCTCTGAAACTCAAGCAAGAATTAAATGTCAATGTAAGAAGTCCTCAGCAAAAGTGGTAATTGTGTAAAACAAAATGCCAGAGTTGCTAACACCTTGGCTTAATATATGTGCAAAACACAAGAGGATTCTTTAGAAATGTCACGGAAAAATGCCTTTTGTATTTAATTTACACTGTAGGTCTCTAATGGGCTCCCACGCCCTACCTTGGAAAAGATACAATCACATAGTGCTCTCTAGTGGCTGTCCGGGCAAAAACCTCTGCAGGCTGCACTCCCGTTGGAATAACACAATGTTCAGCTGCCCCTGTAGTCAGAGACAACTTAGAGAAAGAAAAGTGCTTCTGACAAAGAGGATCTCACCTAATACACAGATCTGTTTGCAGCAGCTTGTAGAAATGAGCTTGAAACACCGTTAGTTACAATGCATCAGAGCTGGTATTTTGAATATGAATCAGAAAGTAAAAAAATGTTTGAATGAGAATGAACTTGGCATTTCACTATGTTTCCAGATGTTTTGACCTTACATCTTTAACACCTCACTGAGAAGTAGATGGTGAGTTAAGGCATAGACTTGGGTAATTCCTGATGCAGAGAAGGTGGCAAGTAACTGTTACATTCCTTCTTTTCCCTTGCTGAGTGTGATCACATTCCTGCATGTTTAATAAATTGTTGTGAAGCTGTTTTAAAACCAAACTGTCACCTTTTCCAGATACATGAGCTGGTCAGTGGATATGAAGAAAGTTGGGGTCAGAGTCTGTAAAATTATCTACCAAGGAATTATCAAGTCTCGGGAGAGAGAAGGCACCTGTGTTTACTTCAGCCTTCTGCACTGACTCAAACTTGTTATTTCTTAAGGAATGAATTCCATAAATGCAAATATTGATGTGACTGGAATTATGCAGAACAAATCTAAGACATTTAACAATGCTTTAGTATACTAGGAGTCTCACCGGTTAGCTTCAACACAGGGGACCTTCTGACTCTTTAACAAACTCCAGTTGTGCCAGGTTTTTTTCCTTATCCTACAAACAGTGGTGCGAGGAGAAAACCATTCCCTTCTGCTCCATCCAGACTTCCCAGCTGAGAGGACCACATTACAAAATGTGTGCTTATTCTGGGCTAGTAAAACTATACTATCATACTGTGCTCAAAACACGAGTCATATACCAGACCTGAGCTTTCCACATAGGAGCTTCATGTAAGGACAATGCAGAGCCCTGGGAAAATCCTGGGAGGCTGAAGACAGAGATAAAGCATATGGAGAGTTCTGGTTCACTGGGCTGACCCTCTTTACGAAGTTCAGCCCAACATACAGCCAGCAAATGCAGCTGTCTGGAACCTGTACGTACCACACCCCAGCCAAAAACAAGACAAAAAGTAACTGTTAGAAGTGCTCACTTGAATTTGTATGGTATGTAGGGAACCTTTTAAAAATGTACATTTAGGTATGTTTCCAAAACTGAATGGCCAAGTGTTTGTCTCTAAGAATTTCATGGTATATTTATGAGTGCAAAAAGTACAAGTCAGAATACTCTACCTGAAAGGGAAATTCTGAAAGGGAGCATCCAAGTCAATCATGCCTTTCCTTACTGTCGAAATATGAAGCACCCCAGACAACAACTAAACCACATTTGATTACAGTGCCAAGCCAGAGTGGAAGTTCAGGGTAATGAAACAAAATACCCTGGATTATTTTTAGAGCAGTGCAACACTAAAACATAAAAACCCAGGACCTCTGCTGCTACCAGTGTTCAACTTGACTGTGTGACCAAGAAGAAAATAAAATAGAGTACTCCATTGTGATTTCTTTCTAAGATACAGAACTTTGTTTTCTTAAGCATTCAGAAAGCTTTTCTCTACAGCTTTTTTAAAAACATGATTTATTTCTACTTTTCTACCCACACTGTAGGATTTGTAACATAATTTAAAAAAGAAAAATCCAGTATTAACAGATATGCCTTAAATATTTGAAGATGGAACTGAAAATTAGTTCCAGTTGTTGCCATGCAAGTGTCTGTAAAAACAAAAAGTGTATCCAACAAGCAGCTTTTAGAACAATAGCCCCACAGAAATAAACCTGATGAGTAAAACATCTGAAATGGATCAAATTAAAATGAATTACATATTTTAAAAAATATAAACAGGATAAAGGGAAAAAAACATAAGAAACCACTTCAGTGATTAAAGTGTTAGCAAATGCAGTAAGATACTTGATTTGATACTATTTTCATGGTGATGCTATTTAGGAAAATGGCTTCGGAGTGTGCTCTCTTGTAATCATTCCATATCATTATATATGTTTAAACCAGCACTGAACTTATGAGTTCTATAGGACTAAAAGTTGCAATTCTTCCTGTGGTCTGTAACATTCCATGAGTGGAAAGGATGTGGACAGCTACACAAATATTTCAAAATTGCTAAGGAAGACGAGAGGGAATAATAAAAGAAATCCACCAAAACCAACCTTGTAAGTGAAACTGCAAACCAGAGAGGTTCTGTAATATGTCAGGAAGAACTGCATCCTTGGCTGGAACAGCACCTGAAGGAAAAAATACAAATTCCCGTATAGAGCAGAAGCTGCAGAGGGAAGAACTATTCCTATTATGTTAAGTATTAAGCATTTCTGCAGGATCAAGGCCTAAAGACTTAGTATGATCACTGCTAGTGATCCAGAATTAAACCAAACAAAAATCCAAAGACCTGAGTTCTTTTGTACTCCCTTAAAGAGTAAAATAAGCAAAACTGGCTCATCTCTATCTTTCTTTGTTTCAATGAGATCAGAGTGGCATGAGTTGACCCCAATTTACTGGGGGTTAGACTTAGCTTTAGAGCAGAATTTATATATGGACAGCACGAATTCCTGAAAAACAGGACACACAAGCTCTCATAAGCACAGCAAAGTCATCAGTGCAGTATGGATTTCAGCACGGCATTGCTGAAAGGTGAACAGGAAGGTGGCTGGTGTGTGTGTGGGGAGGAGGAAGAGGCACTTGGCCATGGGAGCCCCTTCTATTCCTTCCTCTACCCCCTACCTTGGGAGCTTTCCCTCAGCTCATCAATAAAGGTTTCCCATAGCTGGATTTGGAGAGGCGCAGAATGGCTGCTGCGGTGCTGCGCAGAGGTGCTGGCGGCTTCGTGGCGGGGGGGAAGGAGCCTTGGGAGGCCATGTGGGCACCCAGGACCCAGAAGTGAGAGGCAGAGGACAGGAGCTAGCACCCCTGTGTGAGGGCTGCCCCTGTGGCAGAAGCCTCCTCCTGAGCATGGTCAGGCAGTTACGGAAACTTCCGGGTATTATTTTCTGCAATATGTTGTGTGGACACACTTTATCTGTGGCCTTTCAGTTCTTAAAAACTTTCTAAGAAAGACGGGAACAGACTTTTTAGTAGAGCCTGTCACAATAGGACAAGGGGCAATAGCTTTAAACTAAAAAGGGAGATTCATGCTGGATGTGATTAAGAAATTCTTTACAATGAGGGTGGTAAAACACTGGCACAGGTTGCCCAGAGAAGTGGTAGGTGTTCCATCCCTGGAGACATTCAAGGCCAGGCTGGATGTGGGTCTGAGCAACCTGATCTAGTTGAAGATGTCGCTGCCCATGGCAGGGAGGTTGGACTAGATGTCCTTTGAAAGTCCCTTCCAACCCAAACAACTCTATGATTCTATGATTCTATGTATGGAAAAAAACTGAGACAGCAATTGGAATGAAGAGTCTCAGAATGCCCACTTAGTTTAGCTTCTTTACTTTCTTACTCTTGTACCTGATACTTCACTAAATTTGTGTGCACAACACCTCCCCTGACCCTTTCAGACTTAACAGCTATCACCCTTTTTCATTTCAGTCCCTTTTTGCTAGAAATGGTCAGTTCACTGGCCTCCAAGAGCCCAACCACCTGTACTGATCCCAGTGTTTCAAACTTTGCCAACTTCACAGCAGGAAGCTAAAGATAAAAATGGAATCTACAGTGTCAGGAGTATCAAAAAATCTATGACACTGGGGATCTTTAATATTCATAAGACCGAACCCAAAAGTACGACTATTTGTCTTATCTGGTAAGTTGGATATGGACAAAATATGACTTTGGAGAGCAGTTTAAAGCAGAAATCTCCCTTACACTACTTGCAGACCTAGATTTTATTTTTAAGGTAATTGATCAACGAAAGGAAAACACTGTGTGATGGCTGCAGAGAATGCTGAACTAATAACCCACAACAAAGAAAGCCTATCAGTATCCACAAAGTTCATCATACAACAGCAAAGAAGCCTTTTCTCGTGGTAGTACTACTTCCTTTCTTGCTGTCACCTTCAACACCTTTCACTTACTACTAAGTCTTACTACTGATTACTTCCCCCAGCCTTCAACATCCTCCTAAGAACAGGAATATTTGGTGAAATGATTATTTTATCTAGTAACAGCTGTGCAGCTGCCTGGTATCAAGAGATAATAGATTAATTCTATTAATGGAAAGGTAGGCAGGTGTGTGCTTTTGTTGAACACAAGAAATAACAGCTCTTTCACAATGGGCAATGGGAAGATGGGTACATCTCTGGGAAGAATTTTGAAGATTGATCCCAAGGAAAGAGTAATCTTAAAAGAAAAAGCAACCCACAAAACTCACCCAATATCATCCTACAATACTGAAAGAAAATGAAAGGCTGTTTCTACAATATTTTATTCCAACCCTCATTTCTTATAATGCCTTTCTATTTGATTCCTATTAAATTCAACCTTAACTGATCATAAAAATAGAAATTTGCATTTAAACCCAGTTCTCAAGAAGGCAGGGTGGTGGTTATAATATTAGTCTGAAAAGGAGGCTCAATCCCCTGCTCTCACATTGCCAAACTGGGTACACATTCCTACAAGGGGATGCAAATATTTTAAAATGATGGAATGGGATCTGTATTGTCCCAGTATGCTCATAAATAACCTGGAAAAGGGAGTGAACAAAGAGGTGAGAAAATTACTAATGAGATACAAAATGACTCAGGATGGCAAAACCAAGGACCAGTTGTGAAAAGTTTCAGAGAAACTGTATTAAATAGGTGACTGCACCATAACATGACAGATGAAATTCAATGAAGAGATTTCAGGCAATGTATCTAGGAAAAAACCAGATTCTAACTGATGGCTCTGAACACTCATTACTGCTATAGAAACATGTCTTGTGACTGATATATAACTAGGAAAATGACAGCTCAGTGGTGAAGAGTGGTTAAAAAACAAACAAATAAGGAATTACTCAGAAAGGAACAGACAACATTATATTGCCACTCCATATATGCATGATTCACCATCACCCTGCATACTATGTGTGAAGCCAGACCTCCTTCTCTCAAAACAGAATGGAAAAAGATGGAGAAAAAAAAGATGCAAAGGAGTAACAAAGATGATCTATAACAAAATGTCTTCAAACAAAAGAAATTAGAGGATAGTAAACAATGCTAGCAAAGGCCAGTTTCAAAACAAACACGAGCTGGTGGTCCTTCACAAAACATGTGGCAAGGCTACAGAACTCCTTGTCAAAGCATATTGTGGATGCAGGAAATTTTCAAGGATTTATGGGGAGGTCAGCCAAGAATCGAGGACAGATCTATGCTGTGATGTACATACACATCCAGCAAAAGAAACTTAAAACAGCTGGAGAAGCATTGGGTGGAAACATCATTTATATGCCTGCCCTTGGTGTCTGCTTGATTTGGTAGTGGGAGGACAACTAGGTCAGTCATGTCTTTGCTCTGCAGCTCTTCACTGCATAATCTGGGACAGAAGTAGAAGGCTTCTAAACACATTTGAATACTGTCCTGGGTTCAGCAGTAGCAGTCATGTTTCTCCTTCGTGGTAGCTGGTGCAGTGCTGTGTTTTGACTTTCGGTCTGGGAACAGAGCTGATAATGATGTTTTGGTTTGGCCAAGGACTTTGTGAGCCTCATGCTCTGCCAAGGAAGAGGGGAAGCCAGGAGGAAGCAGAGACAGGACACCTGACCCAAACTAACCAAAGAGGTATCCCATACCACAGCACCTCATGCCCAGGAGGTAACTGGGAGTTACCTGGAAGGGCTGGTAGTCTGCAGGGTTGGAGGAGGTATCAGTCGGTGCTTGGTTGGGCTGGGGGGGGCGAGTTATCGGTCAGCTGGTGGTGAGGTGTTGTATTCTCTTCCCTTGTTATTTCCTTTATCATTATTATTATTGGAGGTAGCAGTAGTGATTTGTGTTATACCTTAGTTACTAAACTGCTCTTATCTCAACCCGGGGGAGTTGCATTCTTTTCGATTCTGCTCTCCGTCCCTCCGGGAGTAGGGGGAGAGCAAGAAGGGGGGGGGAAGTGAGTGAACGACCTGTCTGGCTGGGTTTACACCACAACAAATACCTACAGATGAAGACAGACTGCTACATAGCTTTTAGCAATTACTATTCTAATCCAAAACTATTTAGGAGATTTGGGATATTCTGTTGAGAAACTTCTATGTCTTTAGAATCCTAGATAAAGTAAAAATTTGGTTAAGTCTGACGGTACTTCTCAAACTACATCATCACAATAACATAACTACATAATAGCTTGGGAAGTTCCCAGGTTCTAAGGCAAGAGAGAAGAGATTCAGAGCAGCCATGTGGAAAAGGACTTTGGGGTGTTGGTCAATGAGAAAATGAACATGAGCCAGCTTCAGTGTGCGCTCACAGCCCAGAAAGCCAACCGTATTCTGGGCTGCATCAAGAGAAGCATGACCAGCAGGTTGAAGGAGGTGATCCTACCCCTCTACTCTGCTCTTGTGAGACCTCACTTGGAGTATTGTGTGCAGTTCTGGTGTCCTCAACATAAAAAGGACATGGAGCTGTTGGAACAAGTCCAGAGGAGGCCACGAGGATGATCAGGGGCCGGAGCACCTCCCGTATGGAGACAGGCTGAGAAAGTTGGGGCTGTTCAGCCTGGAGAAGAGAAGCTGTATGGAGACCTCATAGCAGCCTTCCAGTATCTGAAGGGGGGCTATAGGGCTGTTGGGGAGGGACCCTTTATTAGGGACTGTAGTGACAGGACAACGGGTAACAGGTTCAAACTTAAACAGGGGAAGTTTAGATTGGATATAAGGAAGAAATTCTTTACTGTTAGGGTGGTGAGGCACTGGAATGGGTTGCCCAGGGAAGCTGTGAATGCTCCATCCCTGGCAGCGTTCAAGAACAGGTTGTACAGAGCCTTGGGAGACATGGTTTAGTGTGAGGTGTCCCTGCCCATGGCAGGGAGGCTGGAACTAGATGATCTCCAGGTCCTTTCCAACCCTAACTATTCTATGATTCTATGATTCTATGATTCTAATTCTGTCACAGATGACTTTTTCCAGATCTCTGAAGTCCTGGTATATGACAGTCTGACAAACTATTATCCTCTGCCCAAAGTAACTGACACATTTTCATAACTATTGGCATGTTAACACTGCTGTTGTAAAATGTCTTACTAAAGATAAATTAAACTTTGGTATCTGTTATTTCAGATGCAGAAATAAAGACCAAATGGTAAAATTACCCTCTAAAATCATTACGTAATTCTATGCCTCCCTGGCAGGCACACCAGTAATTTCCTCTGTACAATAATGTTTCATCAGTGTATTCTCTCAGCTCCATCAGATATTTATTCAGCCAAATAAAGCACAAATTGCTGAGCTTAAAACCACTATTGAGTGCTTGCAGGATCATCCATTAGCTCCATGATTTCCTTGACAGCACAAAGGATTGCAGGCTGCCAATTATAATTTTAAAGAGCTCCCTATGGTCTTAACCAGAGCTCCCTATGGTCTTAACG